TTTTGCATTTGATGTAGGCATGCTTCTTTCTTTCTCAACTCAAGAGTAGTTATTCCTATGCCATTGAATATAAGGCAGAAGAAACAATTAAATATCATTCTTCACTCATCATAAGATCTCCAATTGACATGGAATATATGGTGTTTCTATAGACACCAAGAAACATGAGTAACCTAAATGAAATAGGAAATAAGAATCATAATTAATGTTATCTTCAACAATAATAAAACTCTAAAATATAATTTGCTACCAATAATAATATTCTAGCATTATTAAATTACAGACAACAAAGAAACTTCTTTGCTCTTGTCCTGCATCATAATTGCTGTTGCTGTTTCTATGGCTTTTGGGGTTTGTATTTGTTCCATGAGTACCGTGTGACCTCTCAGATGAAAACACTTCCTCTCACAACTAAACTATCATTATTTAGTAGTCATTAGGACTATAGAAAAAAGGGAGCATGCAGTTTGCATTGGAACAGGTGCTTATAGAGAGCCTTGAATATAACACAGAGATGTATAATGCGTTCCAGAAGGCATTATTTGTAAAAACATTGTCCTCCCCTGTTGATTCCAGTAACATGTATCACATTTAAATGAAATTAGCAGATTTACCATGACAGGTGGTGATTTTGTGACTTTGATTCTTTAGACTAAATCAAAGAAAACGTTACTTTCTTTCTTTCTTTGTTAAGAAGTTTAGGTAACAGGGGGTCCTGAAGGATCGAATAGAAGTGAATTTAAATTCAAATCCATGAGTTCATGTCTTTTGTTAATAGCTATTGCATACATGGATATATTACAGGGATGTAGTTTTCTCTGCAATTCTTGGAAATGTTTTGATTGTTTGTCAGGCTAGTTCTTGATAAAAAAAAGAAGGTTTTTCAAAATTGTTGAATTGCAGGGCCACTCATGCAGTGTTTGTTGTACCCTACCAAAAGTATATAAAAAGCATCACCAATGCAGTTTGCATCGGGACAAGATTCAAAATGAGATTTGAAATGGATGATTCTCCTGAAAGAAGGTCTAGTATGATTCAGTTAAATGGCAAGACTAATTCATTTTCCTGTGGTGATATTCTTTCAAAGAATATGACATTGTTTCTGCCTTGTTGCAGGTGCAGCGGTGTAGTAACTGGAACAGCTGACTTGGATCCCTATAAATGGCCCAACTCAAAATGGAGGTGCTTAATGGTGAGAGTTACAGTTTGCATTTGTATCATTCTAATTGGATGATTTTGTTTGCCATTTTTCTTCACATAGTCCTTCATTTCATCTGCCACCTCGAATTGAATCTCTTTTGGTTTGCATCTAAATAGATCAAGCCTCCTCGTTGGGCTTGGCAACCGTGATTGCTTTATGAAAAACATATAGTTTCTCAACGTTGATTTTGACCTGTCAAGAGACTTTCTTAGTTGAAAGTCTCTTAACAATGAAGTAGAAGAAGAAGAAAACAAGAGAGAAAAGAGAGAATTTATAACTGAAAAATCAACTGTTATTCTTGTTACTTGAGGAATATATCTTCATTTTGTCAGCTTTTTAACACTTGGTCCTGCCTATTCCAAGATCTTTGCAACTAACTAACAGTTTCTGCGACATCAACAAATATTATAAATAACAGAAATTGCAAGCCAACTAATACAGAGCCAGAGCATCTCTAAATGGCTATCAGAATCAAGGATCACAAGACCACCTAATTGTCCGCTCACACAATCCAGTTATTGATGACAATCTTTGTTCTTTCTAAAGACTTTGCACTTTACCAGGCAGTTTTCAACATTGATTTTCACCTATTTATCGGGATCATTAAGGAAATTCCCTTGCCCCCACATAAGTCAATTATTGATGACAACCTTTTTGCATTCTGAAAGTTTTGCAAAATCTACTGGGCACACATTGTTACATCATTGAATAGGCAGGTTTTTGTATGGGACTTAATATATCTTGTCAAGGAATACTGCTGCCTTCACATGCATGCCATTTCTTTTCTTCGCATTTCCATTGTTCAGTGAAAATGGAAGCTTGAAAACTGTTGGTTATCTTTTGATCTTTTTTGTGATCTATTTAGTAGACTCGTGTGCTCTACCATTTAACAGGTTAGATGGGATGAAGATGTCATGAGTGATCATCAAGAACGAGTTTCCCCATGGGAAATTGACTCTTCTGTTTCACTCCCACCCTTGATTATTCAATCTTCACCAAGGTTGAAGAAACTGCGGGCTGGGCTGCAAGCAGCCCCACCTGATAAGCCCATAGCTGGTATAAATCTTTAACTAAGAGATCAATATTCCTCTTTTCTTTTTATCTTTTATTTACTTGCTAATTTCTTTAGCTTTTAAATCTCGTTTTCCTGCTGCAGGAGGGGGTGGGTTTTTGGATTTCAAGGAGTCTGTAAGATCCTCCAAGGTCTTGCAAGGTCAAGAAAATGTTGGTTTGCTATCACCTGTGTATCGATGTGATACTGTAAACCATCCACTGGATTTTGAGGTGCGGAATAAAGCACAGCAAAATCTCATATTGACAGGAATAGAGAAGGCTAAAATCAGTGAGTTAACTAGAGCTCACCCTGCCACCCACACAGGATTCACGGAATCTGATAGGTTCCTGAAGGTCTTGCAAGGTCAAGAAATATGCTCGTTGAGTTCTGTTGGTGCTTTGGGAAAGCCCAATATTGGACACAGTTCTTTCCAGATGTATCCAGGACCACGACCCGCTTTCTATCCTGTAGCAGCAGAAAGCCTTAGAAGTATGTACTTTCCCTATGGAGATGCATACAAAAATGGTCAAGATCCCAGAACACAATCTTATGCCATCTTCTCTAGAGAAAATGCCCATTTCAATACATCTTCTATTCAGACTTGTGTGGTTAGGGAAGAAGTTAGAAAGCCTAATCAATCAAGCGAGTATAAGACAAAAGAAAGTATTTCTACTGCACCGGCTTTATGTGCAAATCTCAGAAATCAAAAGGATGACTTTTTTAATGGGAATGCTACTGGCTGCAAACTTTTTGGGTTCTCCTTGAATGCAGAAACATCTCCAAATTCGCAAAACACTAGTAAGAGGAGTTGCACAAAGGTAAGCTACATTAGAATTAAAACTAGACAGTGAATTGCGATTTCTTGACCTGGAGCCTGCTCATTTTAACATAAATTTGTTGAAGGTTCACAAGCAAGGTAGCTTGGTCGGAAGAGCTATTGATCTTTCAAGGCTGAACAGCTATAGTGATCTCTTGAATGAACTAGAGCGACTATTTAGCATGGAGGGTCTTTTACGAAATCCTGAGGAAGGATGGCGGATCTTGTATACTGACAGTGAGAATGATGTAATGGTTGTCGGAGATGACCCATGGCCGTAAGTGTCTGATGAAATTAGTGATATGTTATCTGCTATCCAATAAATTGGATGATTACGTCAATTTAACATGCCTCCTCATCACCTTCATATCATTTTAAGTGAGCCTTTGGATTTGTTTTAATGTGATATTTAACTGTACTAAGCTGGCAAGTAGCATGCAAATGGTAGTGGAAATAGGTAGAAATGAGGTAGCTTTTTTCTTTTAGATGGTCATTGCCTGAAAACCCAAGTTTTTTGTAGTGAATTACGTGGGAGAAAGATGCATTATTGTTGATATGCAGGAATGGCCAGCTATGCTATGAAGCCTACCTTCTATCTCAAAAGTTCAAATTGTCTCTAGATTCACTTGTGTGCACGTTTGTATATTCAAGGAAGAAGGCAATTCATTGGAGTAGAATGGTATGGGAAGGAGGTTAAAAGCTTGCCTATCTATTCGTAGTGCATGCTCCCTGTTTTGAAGGAAAAGCAAAAGCGCCTTATTTTCTCAAGGCATGCCCAATGATTTAAACTGGGATTTGAACACAATGTTAAATTCCCATTAGAATGGAGGTGCCAGATCTTATTGGTTGGTGGAAAGCCCTCACTTTGTCCAGCTCAAGTTCTAGATTTCTAATGGGAAAAATGGACGATGATATTGAAAATTGAAGCTTATTTTTCGTTATCTTTCTGATTGATTAATAAATGCTGTTTTTGACTCTTTCCTAGGCGATGATTACTCACGGCTAGTTTTTCTGGTGACAGTGAGTTCTGTAATGTGGCAACCAAGATCCATATATATACCCAAGAAGAAGTGGAGAAGATGACCATTGGAATTACTGGGGACGATACTCAAAGTTGTTTGGAGCAAGCACCTGTGATGATGGAAGCATCTAAGTCTTCATCAGTGGGCCAGCCAGATTGTTCGCCAACAGTAATAAGGGTTTGAAGTTCGTTAATGAAACGAGTACTATGCTTGCTATGTTTGTGCAACTTATTGTTAAACACCTGAATCTAGTTGTGTATTTTGTATCATTCATGTTCTGAGTTCCGCAGTGAATGGAACCTACTGAAGCTTTTAGGACTTGTATGCCTCTCATGGCCCCTCATATACGAGGATGATTGAAGTCTGTTATGGAACCAGTGATTTCTTTTTCATCTACTATGTGTAGAGTACAGGTAGTTTTATTCACTGATTGCCCCCTTGGATCGCTGGTATGAACTTTCAACGTTGGCCTGAGGAAATATGGTTTAAACGTCCGAGATGATATTCTTATAGAATTTTGTGCTCGACAGTGCATCTGATGTCGTTTGACAACTCAAACTACCAAATGGATACGCAAGTTGCGCAGGCAGGCTTAGATTCAGGCAGTGTCTTGACGCTTAGGTGGAGCCAAGATGACGAGGCAGGGATGATTTTTGTTGCTTTATCACACACACAAATGGATATCATCAAGAACTCTGATACCATAGAATCTCCATAGGACACCATCTCACCCTCGGGGATTTGGACTCTGCAAATACGACGATAAAGCTAGCTTTGTATGGACAGGTATTTAACCTGTTCAAGCAGAGAGATGGAGGAGCTCACAATTCAGGCTGAAATCAAACCTGGATGGTTCCATGTACTCAAGAGAGTTTACCCTCTTATTTCTTTCTACAATCCCAAGAGTTTAGGCTGTGGAAGCTGTGCTGCCAATTTCAAAGATAATTTTTATAGTTGTGGAAAAATAAAGAGTTACTCAACAATAAGAATAACAATGAGAGAGAGATACTAGTATGGAACAACAAAAACAGGAGATGAGACAGTACAACGATAGATGTAACGAAGAAAAGTTGTTTTACTAGCATGCAACACTGTCTTCCATTATTTCATGCTAGCTCGTGTACATAAGCCAATGACAATCCATTCTATGACAATGGTCGCCCCGCTATGAGTTTCATACACGGCGGGGAAAAATGATTCACGATGCTGCTGCAGGATGCTCTAGACAACATGCTACCTCTTACTGCTTAAAGAGTTCACGACCAATGATCATTCTTCTGATCTCACTAGTCCCTGCACCGATCTCATATAGTTTTGCATCTCGAAGAAGACGACCAGTTGAGTACTCGTTTACATATCCATTTCCACCTAAACATTGTATAGCCTGCAAAAGTGGATCTAAAAAGGTAACCAATTTTGAAAAATCATAAAACATAGAACTAGCGTAGCATATATTTCTGTTATCCTCTCTGGATTGCTATTTACCCTCATCTGTGCGGAAGCACTGGAATAACTTGTTCACAATCTTTCATCACGACAGGAATAAAAATGATGATTCAGATGGCCAGGAGCAATGCGGTGCAGGAAAAAGAAAAACCTTGAGGGCTAAAAGGACATGTGCAGTGAAATACAAATACTTCAGGCTCTTTTTATGTTTGTACAAATTCATTCGATTTTAGTGCTCCTACGGAACATGAAATTTTGAAATTCATAAACAAAAGAATGGGAGTGCTCTTTCACCTGCAAAGCAACTTGGGTCGCTCTTTCAGCCGCACAAAGTATGACTCCAGCACAATCCTGAAAATATATATCCACAGAAGTTACATTGTTGAGATCAAACATTTTATAGTTGTGTTTATGAGATGATAAATACAAAGGAAAGAAATAAAAGAAAAGGATAAGATAGGAGGAAAAGAAGACTTTATCAATATGAAGGCTTGAAAAGAAGAGAGAGAGAGAGAGGGAGAGAGGCCTACATTTACTCCACATATAAGAATAATAAAGTGGCCAGTTAAAGAAAAGAAGAAATTTCAAGAAACACAGACAGAAGTTCACCCAAGTAAACATTGAGAGAACAAGAACAAAGAGATTTTAGGGCGGCTGTGCGTTCACTAACAAAAAATGCTTTTCATATTTCAACCCTAGTCTTCTACTCTAGTTTTGTTTTTCATTTTTCAATGGAAAATCAGAAAACATGTTATCCATTAAAGTTTCATAACATTTTTCTAGTTAGAAAACTAAAATACAAGTTCAAACTACTATAGTTTTTCACTTATAGAAAAATAGAAAAAATGAAATCAAGTTCAAAATACATTAATTTTTAAATTTTCTTTTATTCAACGAATAAATAATTCAGTCCAAATATTACATGTGGTTTATTGTGAAATAAACAATATTAAAATATAAATTCAGAAATTAAAGCTAATTTAACCCTAAAAAACACATCATTTCAGATTAAAAAAAAAAAAAGGTTTAGCATGCCTCCCTCATCAGCAATTTGGCAAAAAACAAACAACTTGATAGATGATGTAAATCAAAAGCAAAACAGCAGCCCCTGTTTTGCTCCACCAACAATCAGGTGATGCCAACACAAACTTTGATCAACCTTCGCCTTCTCATTGAAAAGCCACTCAAAACCTAACCATCAAATCAGATCCATGAATAGATAGTGAAAGAAAGAGATCAGGGATGAGGGGGAGAGAGCCGAAGAAGTTACAAAGGGTGGTGGTGCAGCTGCTTAGTTTACAAATTGAGGAAAGTTTAGATTATATATAGGATTTAATTAAAATAGCCCGAAAGTGATGAGGACATTTTTGTCCAAAAAATATCATTTAGTTATTAGAGTTTGGAGAAGTGCCTTTTTAGTTAAGCTTTGAAAGGGAGAAAATTTTGGAAAACATGTCCAACATGTTTTCCAATTCAATGCTTTATCATGAAAAAAGAAGAAGAGATTCTGTTTTCCATTTTATAAAAATATGCATTTGGACACAGTTCATTTTTTCTGTTTTTCCAGGAACAATGAAGTGCTACATTTCTGTAGCGGGTATATACCACAATAATCATTCCGCGTACATCCCATCAACAGAAACTATGACAAAAAATATTGCAACAAGTGTGGCAGGTATTCATAATATCTATAATGTGCTGAGACAACTAGCAACAGTACTGAATTTTATGAGTAAAACAAAGAGCTCTCATGATGCAAACCACATTCTTATGGACCTCTACATCCACAAGAAAAAAATGTCAATCAAAGTTCATGTCATATGGGGTTTCAATACACTAAGTAGACAAACAAAAAACAGACGAAACATCAACATCAAGCTATGTTAAAGAGATCATCACCTTAGGGTCAATTCTACCACTGTCACAATCCCTTGCGACAGAATAAACATAGGACCTGAAATGTTCAGAATTGTTAATTGCTATCATACAAGCACCAGAATTTAGAAAAGTACAGTACAATATATTATTAGCATACATACCTTGAAGATTGTAAGGAAGTATACATGTCAGCAATCTTCCCCTGCAAATGAAGATCAATCAAAATCTATATCTATCTCTCTCTATGTGTGAGTAAACCTGATGCACCAACTGAAATTGCATTATGGTGATGACGTGTACTAGTCACATGTGCAAAGGGATGAAGTAAAAGCTTAATATATTTTTTCATGCGTTTGAAATCGCCAATTGTAAAATCATAATTCTTTATATTTCTCATTATTCAGTCTCTTAAATTGTTTCTTAAATCTTCTCTTAAAAGTAAAATGATATTTTGGACTAGCAATTGGTTTATTTCAGCTCCTGAATTTAATTTAAGGGGTCACAAATTTTTTTATCCTTTCCATTATTATTCATAATTTTTCTAAGTCTTTTTTATCCTTCTAGGATTGTCGCCTATGTAGAAGGAAACATCAAATGTAAAACTATACCAAGATATGTTTATTTTCCAACCATAAAAATATATTTCTCAATTTTGTAAAGGAGCACCGATTTGAAATCTAACCATTTTCTCAATATTTTTATCCTTCCACACCCAACAGGATGAAAAGTGAATATACAAGAACATGAAAAAATTTGCACGCATGATTTTTTCACATGAGGGGTTTTCAAGGAAGAAAGGTTTACTTTATGTTACTAGAACTTGCAATAACAGATCTTAATGAAGGGTGTCAAAATTCATGACAATATAACTTGCTAAAGCAACCAAAAAAAAAAAAACAAATATAATAAATTCAACCATCCCATGTATGTCAAGTCTATCAAATTACAGTTCATAACAACAGGTCATGGTAAAACATAAAGAAGAAAACTGGTGAAACTCCCACAACACAGAAGCACACTATTAGTTACAGATTAAGAACCAATACGAAAACCAGCTAGACTGCATTGGAAAGTTTCGGTCACCAATAGTTATACCTGAATAAACTGAAACTCTCCAATTGGATGGCCAAACTGTTCTCTTTGTCGAATGTAAGGAAGAACAATGTCAAGACATGCCTGCATGATGCCAAGTGGCCCAGCAGCCAACACAAGCCTCTCCAGATCCAGCCCTGACATCATGACATACACACCTGAAAGAAAAGGACAACTATTGATGTTTAGAGAAAAAAGTAAAGAGGAGATGAAAGCAATCTATGTGATGCAAATTTATTATGATAAATGTGATTTCTCCCCAACAATTTGAACGAGTACAAAATTGGCTGGTTCTACACACATAAATCTCTGACTATCTGTGCATCCTTCCTTACGATCATGATCACTACAAACTAACACATAATCATTTAAGAATGTTTCCTGTGAGAGGCTGAATCCTTAAGAGGTATTTAAAACCTAGTTTTATCTCCAGTCGCATTTATCTGTTACAGATAGTCTGGCTGAGTTGCTTGTGTCATGATCCCTAGACACACATCAACTTTGTTTGCAGTGACAAGCAATCACTGTAATCAGACATCAAACATCTTACAAAGATCTTCCTTGAAAGAAACACAAGAAAATAGCATGAAAGAACCTTGTCTAATTACAGTGACAAGCAATCAATGTAATTAGACATCGAACATCTTACAAAGGTCTTCCTTGAAAGAAACACAAGAAAATAGAATGAATGGACCTTTTCCTTCCTGCCCAAGAACATTTTCTTCTGGAACAAAACAATTCTCAAACACAAGCTCACATCTGCTCAGACCATCAACCATATTAGTAGGAAGCAGGGAAAGAGGAAGGTTGATGTACTAGAAAATAGAAAACACCAGTAAGAGCATTCTTAACATACGTATCACTTCCTCTCATCCCAAGCTTGTCTAATTTCTGGGCAGTGCTAAATCTGCAGTCATCAGTAAAATAAGTTAAGGATTCAATTTCTGCTTTTCATTTGTCAGTGTTTTTATGTTTACCATGACAAAAAATGCCATATTTGTCCTTTCTAAAACATTTAAGGATTTTTTTGAATAGTCTCAGAAATAAATCTTCTCATTTGAACATTCTTTTTCTTTGAAAAATCATTTCTGCTTTCAAATTTCTAAACAAAACTTATGTAATTATTATCCATTTAAAGACATTCATGTGCAAATAGTGCTTAGGAAAATTTTCATCAAATGAAAGGCAGTGCCCAGCTCATTCAGAGGGAAGTGTCTAACAAATAAGTCCAAAGAACAAGTGGCTTTCCATTTTAATAGAAAATGATGGTTCAAGTACCCAGGCATTCCCTTCTCAATGATAAATGCCGTGATTCCTTTTGATCCAGCTGTGACATTGGTTTTTGCATAAACAACCTGTCCCAATTCTAGGCATTACTTTCAACAAACAAAAGATGACTTCATAGAATATGATACAATTAATCAACATCACACTAATAGTTGCATGAGGTAACCATCAGGTACTAGCTATACAAGCAAACATTAATGTCTTCCAAAAATAGAAAATTGACAGGGATATCAGTCATAGCAGTAGAGTAGGAATTGTCTTTTCAATAGATCAGAAAAGGAAAGGGGGACAACTCATACACAACCAATTATACTTTCGAACATGCTACACAATAATTCCCAACTGAAATCGGTTTTCTATTGCAACAGGATCATATAAAATAGTTTGTTTTTATCAGTTTGTTTCATCTCCAATGTTCTATGCATTGGCTTATTATTTAAAGCTCTTCAACAGCGTTATAAAAGATATGACACCACTCATGTTCTTGAGAATATAAATAATAAACAATACGAACTGGAAGAACAAAAAAGGATGTTCAGCAATTTGGATCCAACATTGAGTTCATGTGCAAGTCTAGTTTCCCAAGCAACTCATACGTTTATCAATCCATAAAATTGTGCACTATAGACATGCATTTCATAAGAAGGGAGATAAAGGGAGTTGGGGGGCAATACTGAGAAGTTACCAATGTCTGAGCAACTGGCCCATTGGTGCACCACATCTTGTTTCCATTTATGATATAGCCTCCATCTACACGATCAGCTTTGCATTTCATGCTAACAACATCAGAGCCAGCTGAAAGAAGACACTAATGAGTCAGACTCCAAATCACCTAAAAGAATAACTAGAAATCCCAGCAAAACATAAGCTGTGCAAACATATGAATTACCATTGGGTTCACTCATTGCAAGTGCTCCTACATGCTCTCCACTAATAAGCTTCATAAGAGAGAATATCAGTCAGTAAAGACAAGTATTTGGGGGGAAAACCCATAATTGCGAAAGTCATATTTATCAATTTAAGATAGGAAATAGATGGTCCGGGTTCATATCCCTACCTTGTTGAAAGAAGGACATAGAGATTTGATATCATCAACATCATTTTGCACATAAATTAATAAGAAAACTTTAGTGTGATCTTTACGATAGTAGCATAATGATCATTTATAAAATATAAGGTATATTTCTGAGAAAACGTTAGCAGAAGAATGAATTGGTTATTAAAGCGAGGAGACCAAGGGATGTTGGAATGGAAAAGGAGGGAAGAAAATGACCTTGGGCAAGTATTTTTGTCTTTGAGCAGGATTTCCATTCCTCACCTAAAAAACAGAGCAGGCAGCAGGCATTAAGGAAGTAAGAAGCTTCAAGACAGAGAAAAAAAAAAAAACATCAGAATAATGAGAATATGGAAGAAGGGATTTGTCTAGTTTACCAACTGATTGATGCAGAGGTTAGAATGGGCACCATAAGAAAGGCCAACAGATCCTGAAGCACGACTAATTTCTTCCATTGCTACGCAGTGGTATAAGTAACCAAGACCAAGTCCACCATATTCCTCTACGAAGGCATAAGGAAAGGAAGGGAAAGGAAAATTAAGAGGTTTCTAGGAAGAAGAAATAGACATTGCTGACCCTAAACCCTAACCTGGTGCAGTAATCCCATGTAGATTAAAGTCTCCCATGAGTTTCCATAAGTTGACTTCCTAGATAAATTAGGACGAGATGAATCAAATTGATTGAATAATTCTCAACAAAAAGAAACCCTTTATTTAAATCACCTTGGGGAAATAATTTGATTGGTCTATTGTGGAGGCATGAGGCGCTATGTTTTCTTGAGCAAACTGAGAAACACTTTCTTTAAACTGTGGAAAAGAAAGAAACAACAAATCATTTAGCTAGCAGAGAAGCAAATAAACAACAACAACAACAATTAAGATAGAGCAGAAGAAGACCTGGAGTTGAGTATCATCGAAGAGAAAAGAGGTAGAAGCGGTGGAGAAAGAAGAGGCAGAAGGAGGAGGAGGATGTGGGAGTTTCTTGTTTGTATTTAAAAGAGACAGAGACCTCCTCGCGGCCGCTCCAAACACCCTCTGCATCCTCACTATTCTTCCACGACAGGACACCACACCAGAAAGGCAGAATGGGGGAGCGAGCGAACTACAACTATTTCGCTTCCCTTACGTTGTTTCTGAACTGTGACGTGGAGGATTTACATTTGACTCAGCTTTCATGTCTATCTCCATTTTTATTTTTTTTTACTTCGAGTGCTTGACAGTTTTCTTTTCTTTCTAGAACCAAAGTACATGTCTTCATGTCTATCTCCATTTTTATTTTTTTTAACTTCGAGTGCTTGGCAGTTTTCTTTTCTTTCTAAAACCAAAGTACATGTCTGGTCATTTGTCTTCTTGGTAGTGATTCACTAGTGCTTCGATACGATAAAATAGAATTAGGATAGGAAAAAAAAAAAAAAAAAAAATAGAATTAGGATATGAGATATTGGAATTGTGTTTGGTGTTGACAATTTCTCCATAAAAGACAATTAGTGTTTTAGTTGATATGGGCTAGATTATTGGTCAATATTTTTTTGAAAAAAAATATATTTAAGATTTTGCTAATATTTATCTAATAAAAAAGAATAGATGTAATTTAGTACATTTAATAAATTTAAATATAATATAAATGACTAGAAAAATTATAATTTGACTTAAAATTTTTGAAATAACATCATTTTTTTTTAATATTGAATCGATAATATATTAAATTAACATCGATCAATTCAGATTAACTTGTTAAATTTATGATTTTAGATTATAAGACCATGATAATCTCATCTTATATTGAACAAATCAAAACAAAGTAGGAAACTTAATTTTCAATCAACTAAATATTGAACAAATAAAATTGAAAAAAAAATCAATTAACAAAAAAAATACCATAGTTAATCCGGGTTAACCTATCAAACTCAAGTCAAGCTGAGTTAACATGTCAAACTCATAACTCGAGACATGAAACTAAGATAACATGATATAAAACAAATCAAAATAAATTATAAAACTCAATTCATAATCAACTCATTTTTAAAAGATGAATTTGAAAAAAAAATCTAAAAAAAAAGCATAACAAAATGAACCGAGTCAATTTAGGTTAACTTACAAAATTTATGACTTAGGTTATAGGACTTCATAGAACATAAATCGAAACAAATCATGAATGTTAATTCCAAATCAACCTAACGTTGAATGCAAATCATGAATGTTAATTCCAAATCAACTTAACGTTGAAGGATGAAATTAAAAAAAATTCAATTAAAAAAAAGTTAACGAGGATAACCTACTAAACCATAAACACTAGTTATAAGATTGTGATAACCACACAGAAAGCAAAACACCATAAATAATAAAGCTTAATATTCAATAAATAAAATATTGAAGAATTAAAATAAAAAATATAATTTAAAAAAAAAAACAAAGGTTAAAACAAAACACTATTGTAATGAATTATGAGACAATGTATCATAAAAACATCATTTCTTTTATTGTAATGAATAAGTCTATTATATTATTGATATGTATTGCCATCAAATTTGTAATTTTGGAATGATAAATAGAGAATTTACTTTAGTTTATAATGATGATTCATATATTTTAACTAATTTTAAATAGCAATTTATTCACTCATCAAATCATGTTAGAAAATTTGGTAATCATTTTCTAAATATATTTAATAATAAAATAAATAAGTAAACCAATCATATGTCAAATAAATTATTTGCGCCAACATATAGTTAATATCAACATAGTTAAAAAAGCAAGATATTAATTTCATCACAAATGTGTGTATTATCATTCAATCCTTATTATTTCACTATTAAATCCATTTTTTTAGATCATGATTAATTTTTATTTCTCTATATTATAGATGTTTTAAATATTATATTAATTTTTCAATATAAATATTTATTTTCTTTCATAATGTTATAAAATTCACTCATTTAGTAAAAAAAAAAAATCCTTTTATACTTTTTAATAAAAATCATTTTGTAGTTAATTAATTTTCAATTCATAAAAAATCATTTTACTCTAATTCATTTCCTTTTTAATTGTTATAAATTATTAAATTATATAAAATACTTTATTATTTTTTTAAGCAATTGGTTTTTTCATATTAATAAAATGAAATAAAAAAATTATAAAAACAAGAAAATTGAAATTATGAAATATGTAATTAACTATTTGTGGGGGAAAAAATAGTTTTGAGAAATTAACCTTAATGAAATAACTATTGTGGCTGAATTGACTCATTTACTAAAACTTATTTAAAACCTTTACTAGTAAGTCAAAGCTCTAATCCAAACAAATATTGGATCATATATGAAAATAAAGTATTAAATAAGCCCAAACAAGCTTGAGACTATAACTAACAAAATAAAAATAAAACATATAAGTTTAAGTCTTGTTTTATCGTGAGAGGAGAAGAAGAAAAAACATTGAAAGACTAATACAAGACTTATTTATAGTCTATAATACTGGCTAATAATCCTATGACCTAAAAAAAAAAAGTTTTTTCCCCATTGGTTTTCAAGTTAGAATATGGTTATGATCTTAACCTTGTATTTATCCATGTTTTGGAAGGAAAAAGATGTTACTTTTAGTACTTCACTTAACAATCACATGTGTTTTTTAAGTTAGCTTGAATTTTTTTATTTTCTTTACTGTGTTTTCTCAACCTAACAAGGAAAATAAAAAAATTCTAATATTTTTAAAAAATAATTAATAATTTCACATATAATAAAAAATCCAAAACTAATTAGGAATCCACAAAACAAGAAGGCTGCCAAAACTTCATAGTCCAAATAAAAATGGATTCAGTCCCTGTTGCACATGGATTAAATGTATTAAGGTTTTTTTTTTACGCTTAAAAGGATCCCCAAGTTCAACTTTGGCCAAACTTGCATAACTAGTCTATTTAATTTTTCTTTTAATGCCTTCATTTTGGACCTTATTATGGGTCCATTTGAAATGTGTAATGGTTCCTTGATGCTTGTGGGCTGATCTACATCAATATGGATAGAAACAAGTAGATTTGATGTGGAACAAGATAAAAAAAAATTAAAATAAGAACATAACCTGATTAATGGAGCCAAGCTTTGATACCAAATGATACAAACCCCGTGATCACGTAATCAACATAGAAAAATACCTCTAGAATCTTCTTAATATGAATCTTATGATTACATGGTCATGCAAACCATAATCAAGATTAATATTTGATTCTGAAAAGCTGAAAGAGGTCTGATAGGAGTGTGACATAATGAAAACATGTCTTAAGGCACCAATGAACCTCATCATCACGAGGTCGCACAATCCACAATCAAGAATAAGATCTAATCTTAGAAAGTTAAAAGAGATCTAATAGGAGTTTAATATAATGAAAACCTATCCCAAGACACCAATAATATTATAATGAAGTCGAATGATGTAATGATGTCAATTAATCTCCAATAAGTCAGATTTAGTTTGTCTAAGAACAAAAAAATATAAGAATCTTTCTCACTCATTAAACTGAAAAGTTCAGAAGTATTATGTATCAAAGGTTTCAAAATTTAGGCTTTACATATGTTTTAATAGTTCTAAATAGTTAACCTTACTGGATCTTTCCCTATGGCCTGAATTGATCTACTTACAAAAACTGTTGGTACTGGTTTTTTGCTTTGCTTATCAAAAAACATTACTGATGATATATATATATATATATATATATAGACATGCAGGCATAAAGAATAGAGTAACATAAATTTAGCTTGAACCTACAATATTATGGTATGAAAGAATATGGAAGTTGGACCTAGCATACTAAAAATGACTTGAACGTGAACCAAAATAAAAACAGGCACCATATTAAGATGGTGGTCACCAATATGGTAATATGATAACTAATCTTTCAAAATAATTTAATCATGTTTTAAAAAGTGCTCATGCAATGCGTGTTTTTAACTTTAGTGCAATTAACATGTTACAGGTATAATAGTTATTAGGTCAAGTAAAGATGTGAAGTAAATGGTTTTATTCAATGTGGAATAATTTAACCCCATCAATTCAGGTTGGATTGACAATAAGAAGGGATAGATTAAGATCTCATATTGCAATTTTGACTTTGAAGAACAAGTTTTTCATGTCAACACCCCTTTTAAACCGAGTGTTGTAAAAGAAGTTAGACAAGCAATTATATTGAATGGTAGAACATGGATATATAGTAAATAACCTACATTTTAATATTCATATTCACATGTTCTTACATATTGTGCTAAGACTTACTTAGATTTTACATAATTTATTGATGATCATTACTAAGTTTGTCGAATCGTTTTTCAATGCATGTGATCTTTCGAGTAGGAGTAGAGTGAAGGGTCTCACTCTCCAGTTTCTCAAAGTTATAGATCATCATATAACATGTTATTTTGTCCCTTACTAGATCAATTAGAATGAAGTGATTACACCAGACCTCAAGTTGAAGTAGACTCATCTAAACAAAAAATTAGGTATGGTCAACGAATGTCTACTCATTTGCATAACAAGATGGATGCAACAGATGGTCATGCATATTATAGATATGACATATGCAATGAAACAGGTCATAATAAGATAATATATTTTATTCAATAATGTATGCATGACAAAACAAATATTTGCTCAAATATATTATGACATTAAACACAGATACACTTACATAGGATATCGCACATGTAAAGTGGCAAATCTTCTTCTCATGTTGGGCAGCCATATTATGACGCTGATATTTTTAGAAAGCATGACTATTGGCATGGGAAGTTTAATTCATAATACATGCCTATCGAGCCTGTTGACACTTTTATCTTGTGGTTACAGGAAAAACATCGATCGAAAGATGTTTTCATCAGGATTATAAATATGTTTTTAATTTTAATAAATATTTTTATTACTTAACATTAAAGATATTATATATTTATATAATTATATTTTAAATTGTTATGCAGGATGAGGTTATGATTTATTATCAAACACATAAGCGGATGAAGTTACACAAGCGAGTTAAGCCATATGTGTTACAAACTATTTTTTTATTCATCAATTGTTTAGAGCACATGAAACTTGACTATGACTTGATACACACACTAATTGAGCGATGGATATATTAGACACACACATTTCATCATAAGTATAGAAAGATGACACTGACACTACAAGATGTAGTTTTGCTTAGACTTTTCATTGATAAACGTGCAGTCACATCTACTAGTGTGTGTAA